TGGCTGGCTAGCACTGCCAGTCTGATTGGAAAGAGGAAAGAACTGCGTCAATTCGTTCTCTCTTCTTTCCCGCCCTCCCCGGCCCCGCCGCCTGCAGGCCGACCGCCCGCTGTGGGACGCGCGCGCCGCGGTGCTGCTGCTGCTCATGGGGCGCTGCGCGCACGACGGCGGCGCGCTGGCCGCGCTGGGAGGCGCCGCCTTCTTCTGCGGCCTGCTGGGCGAGCCGGATGTGCGCGTGCGCCACTACGCCGCCGTCTTTGTGCTGCGCCAGCTCATGCTGCAGCAGCCGCTGCAGTACAGGTGATGCGTGGCGGGGGGGGGCAGGGGCGGGCGGGCGCACCTGGGCGCGCTGGGCGCATGACCCCTCCGGTACCCTAACCTAGCTGCAGGGCAGGGGGGGGTGCGGGCCGGAGCGGGCGGGCCCTGCACCACCACTCCAGCCGTGCACCTGGCCCAGCACTGCAACTCAAGCCACGCGCAGCGCTCACCAGCTCCCCCGCAACAACAACCCCGTGCCCTGGCTGCAGACGCGCGCTGCGCGGCGTGGTGGCGCGCGCGCAGTCTGCCAACGACGAGAAGCTGCTGGCCAATCCTTACCTGCAGCTGCGCGCCATGCTAGACCAGGGCAGCGTGCAGCTGGACCGCCTGTAGAGGCACGCGCGCACCTGCTGCCCTCTGCCCGTAGCCAGGCAGGGGGTGCGGCTCGGCAGCGCGCAGCTAGGTGCAGCTGCTGGACTGAGCGCAGTTGGCTGGCACTCACACCGCTGTAAGTTTCCTCCGAAGCCTTTGTGTCTGGGTGAGGTCTGGGGGACCGCCTGCCAGCCCTCCTATTTACAGGCACACTCGTTCGGGGCGAGGCGCGAGGCAGGCACCTTGCACTCAACGTGGCATACACGCATCATAACAACGGGCGACAATCACACAGCGGGCGGCTTTGCTCAGCCGCGCGTCGCTGACTTCAAGGCAGGGCGGGATCAAGCGATGGCGCTAGTTGCCACGGCGGCTCCTGCCGGCGCTCAGTCTGCGCCGCGCAGCGGCATGCGCAGCTCGGGTGCCATCGCCACGCAGGCCTGGGAGGTGGCGGTGGCCTGGCTCTGGCCGTCGGCGCCGGTGCGGATCACGCCTGCAACCCAAGTGGCGCGCATCGATTGGGCGGCATGAGGCAGCAGGCATCTGAACAAAAACAAACAATGTACTGCACTGCACTGCACGGCACGGCATGGCATGGCAAGGTCAATAGCCTAGCGTGGGTGGCCTCGCCGCCCAGGCAGGCCTGCGTGCGTGCCTGAAGAAGCCTGGGCCTGGCCGCCCTGCCCGCTCTGCTGTGAGGTGGTGGTGGCGACGGTGGAGGACGGGGAGGCGGTGGAGAAGGCGGTGCTGGTGCTGGAGGCCTGCGGCATGGAGGGACAGCGGGACCAGGGTGCTGCAGCAACACAGATGTGGACAGCCAGGTGCACGGTGCCATCTCTACCACGGCAGTGCCTGGTGCAGGGAACCCTGGGGCGCTGCCTCACCGAGGCGCTGGCGGTTGCGCTGCTACCAGGGGAGGTGCCGCCTGCTGCCGGCTGCCCAGCCGTGCCCGTGCCCATGCCGGCGGCCGTCCCGGAGCCGCTCGTCTGCTGGCCGGTGGTCTGGAAGCCGGTGCTGGCGCCGTTCTGAGTGGTGGAGGTGGTGGCTCCGCCAGGGCCCGCCACAGAGGTTGCGCCCACCGAACCGGTGCCGGCGACGTTGGAGGAGGCGGTGGTGCCGCCGGGGGTGACGGCGCCGGCCTGCTGCTGGGTGCCGGTGCCCGGGCCCGCGGGGCTGGCGCCGGCAAACTGGAAGCTGCTGGGGGTGAAGGCTGCGCAGGGAGGGGAATGGCGACCCACACGGTTCCGTGATCAGGCAGGCCTCCTTCCAGGGCAAGCGCTCGGCGGCAAGCATTGACCTCACACCAGCGTGTGCTGCCTGCCTGCCGCCATACCCGAGACTCCGTTGGGGGTGGTGGTTGTGACCGGCACGGTGCCCTCAGCGCCAGAGGTGCCCACAAAGCCGCCCCTGCTGGTGAAGGCGGCGCCCTCTGCAGGCCACGCCAGCAACATCAAGCAGGCGCGGTGGGTGGCGGCGCCCTGCTGTGCCGCGCGGCCTGGCTCGCAACAGCAAAAGGCAGATGCCCCACTGTGTTCCTGCCACATTGCCCCACCGACTCCCTTCAGTGCCTAGCGAGCCACTCACGGTCGCTGCACTGGAAGCTGCCCTGCACTTGCAGGCCGCAGGTCCAGACGGGGTTGGCGGCGGGGGTGGCGATGAAGGGCACGAGCTGGCAGATTTGGAGGAAAGTGAAGCCGGACTGCATCTGGCACGTACCATCAGTGTACTGCAGAAACAGCGAGGAAAGAGGTGGGAGAAGGGCAAGAGGGGGAGGGCAGAGGGACCAGGACCTGTGGAAGGCAGGGTGGGTGCATGCCCAAGCGGGACCCAGAACAAATGCAGCACCCCTCATCACGGCCAAGATTGCCGAATGGTTGGGGGCAGCCAGCGGCGCCGCGCCTGCACAGTGTTGATGCCCTGGGCGGTGCCCGTGATGGCGGTGGTGGGCAGCGCGGGCTGCACAAACGCGTTGCTGACGCCGCGCAGGTCCAGCCTGGCGGTGTCGTTGACGCCTGAGATGTAGAGGCCGCCTGTGCCGGTGCTGGTGGCGGTCACGCTGCCGAAGCTGCCCTGCAGCACGGCGTCGCCGGTGCTGCAGCGGCGGGCGAGGCGCGGGGCAGGCACAGGTACCGTGCCTCAGCAACCAGGGAGACGAGGAGGCACCTCAGCCCAAAGTTGTAGCATGGCAGGCAGTGGCGGAGCATCATCCCCCGACTGCATCCCTATGCAATAACCATGGGTGCCGTGGTCGGCGGCAGCCCGGCCTCACCCGGACAGCAGCAGCGTGGCGTTCTGGGCGACCATGCCGTCCACAAACAGGCGGCCCGCGCCAAAGGAGGTTGAGGCGACAAAGCTGGGCAGGGTGAAGCCGGGCGCCACAAACACCTCGGCGCCTGCGGGCGGCAGGCAGGGAGCGGCGGGGGACGGCGGTGGCAGGTGCGTGGGTGGAAGCCGCGGAAATGGAAAGGGCGGAGCATCAACAAGGGCAGCCTGCAGTGCTGAGCACAGCGCTGCTGGCGCATCGTGCAGGCAGCTGCAGCCCTCACCCGTGCCCTGGTGGTTGACCGCCTGCAGCGCGCCGGCGGGCATGGTGACTGCAAACCGCAAAGCAGTCGCCAAGGCGAGATCCAATCGTTTAATCACTAACTGATGTGCAGCACTGTGACAACTTGGGCGTCCGGTGAAGCAAAGCGGCGGGGGGTGTCCCCTGCTCTCCCTCGGAACCACTCCCCTGCCTGCCGGGCCCTGCTCTCGGTCTCTCTCGCCCCAGCCCCTGCTCTCTGCCTCTCACCCGTGACCTTGATTGGCCTGCTTGTGACAAAGTCGGCGGTGCTGCCCAGCAGCAGCACCGAGTCGGTGACGTTGTAGGAGAGGGCGGACAGCACAGCCTGCTCCGCCTCCAGCGCAATCGAGTAGCCGGCATTGGCGGCGGCGTCGGGCTTGATCAGCACGCTGACGGGCAGGCAGATGTCCACCTCCACAAAGGGCTCCAGAGGGACCTGCGCGCAACAGGTATGGTTGGCAGCAGAAGGGGGCAGGGTGGTGGGGGCAATTGGTCCAGCCCCACCGGGCCGGCAGCCGCCTCGGCAGCCGCCTCGGGCAGCGCCGAGGTGGTGCCCTGCCCTCACGGCTGGCGTGCCGAACCCACCTGCTGGGCTTGCAGGGGGGCTGCCTGTTGGGCAGCCTGTTGGGCCGAGGCAGCTGCCAGAAGGCAGGCCAACACGGCAGCCGTGCGAAGGACGCGGGCGAGCATTGTTACAGTTGAGCCTGGGAGCGTCGTCTGGTGTGTCGAGAGTGGACTAGGAGAATCGAGCCGCCTCTCTGTGCTGTAATCCCCCCCGCGTCCCGTGCTTTCTTCCATGCTGACACGGCACAACTCTCAGAACCCATCGCCATTTGCGTGTTTTTATCATCATTTACATTCATCAGCACTTGGCAGACTCCTTCGACTGAGCAGAGGGTGCTCTGGGCAGCGGCGTCGGCAGGCATGGTGGGCTTTGGTCGTCGTCTCGCAGCAGAGGCTTACCCAGAGTGGCGAGAGGTCGGTAGTTCCACACACCGCTCCCTGTGACCAGCCGGCCATGCCGCGGCGGGCGCCGCCACTGCGGGCGATGCCCCGCCACCACCGCTGCTTCCCGCTCGGCACCGGGAGATGGGCAGGCACCCACATGCCTTGGGCAACTGCTGGAAGCTAAGGCCACCTCCCTCCCCTTGCAATGCAGTTCTACCTCGACTATGCCGCCCTCAAGCGCTGCATCAACGATTGCGCCGCAGCCCAGCGTGAGGCGGCCAACAGCCCCGCCTTGGGCCGCCTGCTCGAGGCGCGCCAGGCCACGTTTGCGGGGCGGCTGGATGAGGAGGTGCTGAAAGTCATCAACTTCTACAGACAGCGGTCCGGGGAGCTCCTGGAGGTGAGCGCAGGCCAGGGTTGAGCGCGTCCAATTCGACAGTGGCAGCAGCTTGAGGCTGGCATGCTCCAGATTGCCGCACCACCCCAGGCAGTGCGCTGGTCCTACTGCATGCTCCTGCAGGAGATAGAGGGCACGTCTGAGGAGGTGCGACGCCTGCTGTACAGCGAGCAGCTGCAGCGGGAGCTGCCGCGCAGCTCCGACAAGGCGCGGGCGCTGGAGAGGCGTGCGGCGGCGCTGCAGGCGCTCACCCAGGAGACCACCCGGCTGCTGCAGGTGCGAGTCGGGGGCAGGCAGGCAGCTGGCTGACTGCATCGGGTCCCCTTCTCTGCCGCCACACATGCATAGCCTCAGAGCTGTTCTAGTCCAGGAAGGCGCGGGCCCTGCTTCCCTCCCTCTTGGCTGGCTGCAGTATGTGAGCTTGAACATGACCGCCATCCGCAAAATCCTGAAGAAGTACGCCAAGAATGTGGATCGCACCAACGCGCCGCTGGCGGGCTTCATGGCCCTGGAGATCGAGCACCCCGACGACCCAGGTGGGGAGAGGCCCATGATTTCTTTTTTTTTTGGTGGGGAGCGCATGTTTGTTCATTTTTGAGATGCTCGAGGCCGGTCGTCGCGCTGCCCCCGCAGGCACCGCAGCCTGCTGAGCAAGGCTGTGGGCTGCCGGCATCCGAGCCTGAGCCTGCACGTCCGTCAAATTGCATGCGCGGCCGCCGGTCTCCCCGCCCCGTGCAGGCTGGCGCGTGCTGCAGGGCACCTACCTGCCCGCATCAGTGGCCGACGACCTGCTGGCCATGCAGGAGCACCAGGAGCTGGTGGCGGCGATGGCCCAGCTGCAGCAGCTGTTTGAGGCGGCGGGGGGGTTCAGGCAGGAGCTGGCGGGGCGCGCCAGCATCAGCAGCATGCCCAGGCGAGGCAGCTGGCTGTGGGTGAAGCAGCTGGCAGCACCTCTGGAAGGTCTGGCGGGTCGTGCAGTTGCTGCATACCATGGGTCGGCACGGCTGGCTGAGCTGGTACTTGCTGCCCTATGCCGTGCAGCTCTGTGATGGAGCACCGCTTTGTGTCCATCGCCGCCCACGTGGACGAGATGGTGGCGGCGGAGGAGCAGGCGGCCCGCGACTCTGCGCTGGTCCACGCAGTGCCCTGGGTGGAGCGTGCGGCAGGTGCGGGCAGCTGCACGACAAGCGCACTCTGGCAGCCACCTTGCTCTATTGCAATGCGCGCCCACCGTCGTGGATGCCGTGCTGCTGCACCGTGCCTCCCGTTCGCCCCTGCACGGCACGCCCCGTCGCAGGCATGTTTGAGCCGCCGCCGCCCGACGCGTTTGCCGTGGCCACCACGGCTGGCCTGGTGCTCAACAACCTGTCCACCCTGCTGTTTATGTCAAATTACACAGCAGTGTTGCCGCCCACCGATGCGCTGTGCGTGCGCATAGGCGTGCCCAGCTCCTACACGGGGTAAGGCCGGGGCAAGTGCAGGAGGCTCTTTCCAAGCACCGCAGGGTCTTGTCGCTGCGATGCCGCTGCCGCTGTGTTGCCGCGCCTCGATGCAAGCCGAGGCGTGCTGCCGCCAGGGCGCCTCCTGGGCTTCCGCTCAGGCCTGCCCCTGCACAGGCCCCTGCACAAAGACGCCCCATGGTTCACACAGGCGCCCCCATGGTTGGCCCCTTCCGGCTCGCTCCCCTGTCGCACGATCCCTCCTGCGCCCCCCCCCTTCCCCGCAGCCTCATCATGGCCGCCTCCGACCTGGCAGCCATCTTTGCCTCCCTGGCCATCTCCTGGTGGACCCAGCACTCCTTCAAGCAGCCCCTGCTCTTCTCCAGCCTCTCCTGCCTGGCAGGTGGGGCGGGCTCGCAGCCGCTGCAGCCCCCCGCTGCCTGGGAAGCCGCTTTGCCTGTGCAGGCATGGGACGCCTGCGTGGCAGCCCAGGTCTTTTCACAGCCGCGGCGCTCCCTGCGGGCACGCACCGAGCGCCGCGCCCCCTGCAGGCAACCTGCTGTTTGTGGCGGCATTCCAGTGGCGCAGCCTGGGCGCGCTGCTGCTGGCACGCATGCTCAACGGGCTGGGCAGCGCCCGTACCGCCAATCGGCGGTACACTGCCGACTATGTGTCCCGGGCGAAACGCACCATGGCCAGCGCAGGTTGGGCTCCTGCGCCTGCAGTGCCGCCGGATGGGGCTTGCAGTGGTGGAGCCACCGCGGCAGCAGGGGCATTAAGATGCAGCAGCACGCTTTGTAGCCTCTGTCCTGCCTGCCCTCGGGCGGTCGCCGGCTAAGCTGCTGTCCCCATGGCCTCCCTGGCGCAGCCTTTGTGGGCGCCAGCAACCTGGGGATGGCGCTGGGGCCGCTGCTCTCCCTGCCGCTGGCCTACCTGCCGGAGAGGGAGGTGGCTGGGCTGCCGCTCAACTCCATCACAGCAGTGGGCTGGATCATGGCGCTCGCCTGGTTGGCCTTCCTGGCTGCCACCCTGCTTTGGTTCCCGGAACCGCCCAAGAGGTATCTGTGTGTGAGGTGGTGGGGTGGGGACCGTGGCTGGCGTGCTCCTTGCAAAAGTGCTGCGCGGCGCTATCATGGAGCAATGTGTTGTTTGTGGGTGCGTGGCCCGCAGGCTGCCAATCGGCCTGGCGCGCGCAAGCATGCTGCTGCCAGCCGACGGCGGCACCGCCGCAGCTGGCGGCGCCGCCGGCAAGCGCGGCAGCCTGACGCATCCGCTGCTGGGGGCAGGCAGCGGGCCGGTGCCTGCCGACGTGGAGCAGCCGCTGGGCCTGGCGCTGGAGCCGGCAGGCTCTACGGCCAGCGACGACCACCTGCTGCCGCATGCGCAGCGTGCCCAGCAGCAGGAGGCAGCGCTGGGTCATGGCAAGGCCGCCGCAGCAGCGTGGCGGGCCACCATCCCCGCCACCCTGGCCTGCACCATGGCCCTGTTTGTGCAGAAGATGGTGCAGCAGGTACCCAGCCATGCACGCTGCAACCGCCGCTCGCTACATACCACACTCAGCGGTCTGGGACCTGCTGGTGTACAATGCCTGGGGGCCTGCATGCCCTGCAACCTTTGATGGCAAACACGTTGGAATCCTGGAGTGCCTGCCGCATGGCTGCCCTGCCTGGCTCATCACACTTGCTGTATGTGCGCCGCAGGGCTATATGGATTCGCTGCCCATCCTCACCGACCTCCTCCACCTCGACTGGCACAGCTCCCAGAAGGGCCTCTTCCTGGGCCTCTTAAGCCTGGCCATGGTGCCGGTCAACCTGGCTGTGGGCGCCGCCAGCGCCCACCTCTCCGGCCGATCCATGGTGTTTGGCTCCCTGGCGGCGTGCGTGGCTGCCCTGGCTGCGCTGGCCCTCGGCGCCGCCAACGCGGTGGCCTTTTTCGGCGGCGGCACGCTGCTCTTCACCGCCAGCGTCGTGTTGGAGGGCACCTCCACCAGCCTCATGAGCAAGGTCATCTGGAAAGGGTTCGCCATGGGCGTGTTCAATGCCGGTGGGTGGCGGCCGCGCGCGCGCAGTGAGCCTGCATGCCACAAGCCCACGGCATGCAGAGGGTGGGTGCCGGGCTTGGCAGCGACACCTCCGCTTGCACCAGGCCCCAGCTGCGTGGCTGCCCCAGGTCTGCTTCCATGCTCCCATGCTTGTAGGCCTGTTGAGCACAGAGGCGGGAACGCTGGGCAGATTTGCGGGGAATGCGCTTCTGTGGGCCACCGGCAAGGCGACAGGGCTGGGCGAGGAGCAGCTGCCACGCTTTGCCGCCGTGCTGTACGCCTCCCTGGCCGCCATGTGCGCCGCGTTGCTGGCGCACCTCGCCTGCAACTACCGCAGGCTTAAGGGGTGAGGGGTGGAGGATGCTGAGCAGACGGCTAAATTTTCCCTTGTCGCAGCCAGAGTTACAAACCGTGAACTGCGAATGGAGTGTGTGTGTGTGTGTGCATGTAATCCGGCCGCCGTCACCGGTCAGGCAGCCTCCTACTGCACCACAACGCTCAGGCAGCCTGCTGCTCCTCCATGTCGTCCCCTTCCTCTGCCGCCATTGGGAAGGCCTCCTCCACCCGCTGCATGACAGCCTGCAGCCAGGGATAAAATACAAATGAAAGGCAGCCCGTTGGCCACAGCAGCCACTCTCTCAATCCCTGTCCGAGGTGTGAGCAGCCCCATGCGCACAGGGCACAATCACCAGGTATGTGCACACACATGCAGCTTACAGCGCAGCCAGCAGGCACGCGGCTGCGCACGGCCCCTCTCACCTGCAGCAGCTCCTCCCCCGCGCTGCTCTTGTCCATCATCAGGTGCAGGTGGAAGTCGGGGCCTGCCGCATACCACAGCGCCAGCGCGCAGTCCTCCGCGCAGTCCGCCACCGCAGCCGCTGCCTGGTCGCCGCCAGCCCCCAGCTGCGGCCTGCACGCAGAGGGGGTGGCGGCAGCGGGAGAGTGCAGCAGCTCGCTCAGTCTCAGTCCCGAGCTTTGGCTCCTGCCAAGCTGGCCTGGGTGGGAGGGCGGAATGCACCAACCTGTGAACGGCGCGCCCCCTGGCAGGCTCTCTGCCCACCAACCTCGCCCTGCCCACCTGTGCCGCTCCTCATCATACACCCGCCGCAGCACGCGCCAGAGGACGGCTGCATGCGCCCCGATGCGGGGCCACGTCAGGCGGATCACTTCCAGGAGCGCCTCCAAGGCCGCCGCCCGCACCGACTGGCGCGGCGCCACGCACCACCCCAGCAGCAGCGGCATGAGGCGGCTGAAGTGCGCCGTCAGCTGCAGGCCCAGGCGCGGGAAGAGGGGCGGCACGGCGGCCAGCCAGGCTGCGGCTCGCTCCGCCAGGTGGGCCCCCAGCTCGCCCTCGTCCAGAAACACTGCAGCAGGGGTACGGCCGAGGCAGCCAGCCAAGTCAAACTGCTGAGCTAGCCCCGTCAAAGCCAGGGCCAGCCAGCCTGCCGGCGGCATGAGGACGCCATTGGCCCTGCAGCCAGCTGCAAACCTGCCATGATGTCATGGTATGCCTGGGCGACGCGGCTGGGCCCCTCCATCCTGCTGGCCACGGCAATCGCCGCCGCAGCGGCTGCCGGCCAGCAGGCGTCCGAGCAGCCAGCCAGCGCGTGCTTGGCCGTGCCCATGACGTCCAAGTGGCGGATCCTGCAATGGGTGGAAAGAACGGCAGGCCTCGTTGGGGGCGCTAGGGCTCGGCTGCGGGCGGCAGACCTGCTGCACTTGGGGGTGTGGAACACAAGCGCTACACCGCAGCGGCCAGACAGCGCCACCCTACACAGCTAGCCCGGCTTGCCTCAAGTCTTCCGGCCGCCCCTCGGCCGCCAGGTGCTGCAGCGCCCACAGCCCACAGGCCTGCTCTGCGGGGAACGGATCATCTATTGCATCCACCACGGCTGGCAGCGCTGCTGAGCTGACGGCTGCAAGGTGGCGCCCGCTGAGCTGGCGCACAAGCCACGCCAGCTGGCTCGCCGCCACGCACCGCTCAAAGTTGCCGGGGCCTGCGGCATGGTGGGGCGCCCGTGCGCACGGTGGTGAATATACTGGTCCACTGCACCGTCGGAGACGGCCGCATGAATCATGCACACAAGGGCAACCCGCGCCCCCACCTGTGTACGGCTCCAGCCGCGCCGTCTTGTGCCTGTCGTGCTGCACCTTGGCCGCCACCACTGGTTGCAGGTTCTGGAGCGCGGCGGGCACCACCAGCCCCAGCAGCTGCTGCACCTCGGCCGGCTGCCGCGCTGCCCCAGCCCCGCCGCCGCCGTTGCGCGTGCGAGCAGTGGCCGCCTCTTTCAGCAGGGGCGCTGCGCCGCCTTGCTGCTGCTGCTGCTGCTGCTGCTCCAGTCCTGCCAGCAGGGGAGCCAGCTTGGCTGCCAGCGCCGCCAGCAGCTGCTGTGCCGCCGTGGCGACCTGGCCGGCGGCCCACGGCCGCTGCAGCTGCGCGTCTGCGCCATACAGCGCCGCAACCAGGACGGCGTCCACAGGCTGGATGGCTGAGGGGGAGCCGCTTTCATCAGCCTCCATCTCTTCAATTACAAAGCTGCCAACCGGGCCAGCCGGAAGTGGGGCGTCCTCGGCTGCTGCTGCCGCGCTGGAAGCCAGGGCCTCCAGACCCAGCTCCTGGGCAGTCAGAGACTGCACCAGCTGCGCCATTAGCTGCAGGTGCAGCACCGTGGCCGCCGCCCAGGCCGCCGCTTGGTGCACTGCGTCGGCGGTGGTGGGCGCTGCAGGCGCGTCGCCGATGTCGGCAAACAGGCTGCTGAGCTCGGCCTGCGATCGCTGCGCCGCGTGCAGCAGCTCCAGAAGCAACTCAACGCTGGCTCCTGCAGTATTGGAGCTCAAACAAGGAGCTCAATCAGGAGGGAGAGGGAGGGGACTGCCATCGGGCGCCATGGCGGCAGCGGGCAATGTATCTTGAACTTGCCTTGCGACTGGAAGCGCCATTGCAGCTGCTGCAGAGCCGCAAGGCGGTCGCCTGGACCACCCGGCAGGCCTGCACCCGCATCGGACATTCTTTGTTGCTAAATAGACTGGCCACACTGCAGAAAGGCAAAGAAGCGCCCGAAGGCTCAATCGTGGTGCGCATGGCGTGCCACCTGTCAAGGAATCCGGCAGGAGGCCTCTTCCGTGCGATTTCTGCTGCGTCAAGAGCTTCGATCAGTCCTGGGAGGCATCGCAAGCTATCGGAGCACCACAGCGGAGCCTTGGAGGCTGCACCCAAGGTGGGCGCTAACAACAACCGGCATCGCCAGCTTGTGGCTGCCTGCGACACGGTGAAATTTGCAGATCAAAACGGTCTCTGGGAAGCGCCTGTGTTTCAGTGCCCACCCAACTGCTGGGTGTGCTTGCCCGGCCCAACCTCGCATTTCGCAGCAACCCACGTCGTGACTTAAACAATAAGGCCATGGGTTGCCTGCAGACTGCTGTCTCGCGACACCCGGCCTCCCACCCGCCTGCCCGCCATGGCGTCTGAACCTGCTGCCGCCCTCGCTGCGTTTGCCCGGTACGACCGCGATTCCAGCGGCTACATAACCATAGATGAGCTGAAGGCGGTGGTCAAGGACCTGGGGCTGCTCAAGGGCATGGCGCCACACGAGGCGGCCGCCTGGGTCGTCTCGCAGTTTGCGCTCGCGGGTGAGCAGTGGGGCAGGTGCCTGGGAAAGTAGGGAGGTAGTGTTGTTGTCTGCCGTTTACAGCGGGCGGCCTTGTGGCTGCACTGCACATGCAGACAAGAAGACAAAGGATGGCAAGCTGGACCTTCAGGAGTTCTCTCGCTACTATGCCAAGGCGAGCTGCTGCCACCATCTCCATGCGCCATCCTGCCTGCCTGATTGCTGGTTGAAGGGGCCGACTGCCAGGCTTGCACAGACCTTTGGTGAGGGTTTGCCTGTTGCGCTTTGCAGGTGGTGGCGCCCCGGCTGCTGGAGGCACTGAGCGCAGAGATGCCCGGGGAGGTGGCTGCGCTGCGCCGTGTCTTTGCTTCCTTTGCATGCTTTGGTGCGCCTCGCGGCGCCCAGACCAGCGAGCTGGACGGGGTGAGCTGTTGGGGTTGTGCTGGCGCTTTGCGTGCATGGGTTGAACACACAAATGAAACAAAAAGTGCCTTGGATAAGCTGGCTGCATGTCAGCAGCAGCAGCTAACAACAATTGTTGCCCCTGCTCCGTCGCCCCAGGCCCGCTTTATCAAGCTGTGCAAGGAGACGCGGCTGGTGGTGGCTGGACAGCTGAGCACCACAGATGCAGACCTCATCTTCGCTTCGGTCAAGGACCGGGCAGCCAGGAGGATCAGCTTTGAGCAGGTGAGCTGATGCGGGAGGCATGCGCCTAGCTGCGGCTGGCTATCCCTCATGCTAGCCACTTACGTGCACTGTGTTTCTGGTTGGCCTGCTACACTGCCGAGGGATTGCCCTGTCCCATTCACCTCACATCCACAACCGCTTACGCCTCTCCCTCTGGCCTCCTGCAGTTCCTGGATGCCCTGGACCTGGTGGCGACCAAGAAAGGGCAGCCACTGGCAGAGGTGGTGGCGCAGGTGGCGGGCTGCGCCGGCCCCGAGGCGCACGGCGCCACGCAGGGCGAGTGGGTGAAGCTGCACGACGACAGGTCCACCTACACGGGTGAGCGGTACTGCTGCGGTGCTGCAGTAGCGGACGGTACTTAAGCAGTTGCTGACGCACGCACTGAAGGGCTGTTGCAGCCACGCATGCATTTTTGTGGCAGCACTGCAGACTGCCCAGGGCTATCTTCTCACCCTTGCTGCCGTTGCATGTGATTCTTCAACGACTTGCAGGCATGTATGCGAGGCGCAGCTCGCAGGGCAGCGAGGGCAGCCGCCCGAGCCGCGGCAACAGCATGGCCAGCTCCTCTCACTGCCGTAGCGGCGCCGGCCGGGCGCCTAGCTCCGCCACCGCCAGCACTGCTGCAAGCAGGAGCAGGCAGGAGCGGCTGGGCCACGCCAGGGTGGGCTGCGCTGCCTCAGAGTGCTGGTGGAGGGCTTTGCCGATCGAACTGGAGTCGAAGCAAACAGCGCTCTGAATGGGGTGCCTTGCGCTCCCGCCAGTCAGCCCCCACCAGAGTTGCTGCTGGCCTGCAGGAGGAGACTCCCGATGTGGAGAGCAGGGACAGCCTGAAGGAGGCATTCCTGGAGTTTGCGGCCTTTGGCACGGGCAGCTCGCCGGTGGCGGGGCCCAAGGTGCGCGGGGCTGCCGCCGGCCTTGCCTACCGAGGTGGCACCTGGGCTCTGCTGGCTGCTGCTTGGCTTGCCTGCCATGTGAAGCGGCGTGGCGCGCCTGGTGGGCTTGCTACCTCCTGTGAGCGGCATCACTCTATGCTGCATCACAAAGCTGCCCCACGCTGTGCTGCAGGGCCAGCTGGAGATGGACTCCAAGCAGTTCATCAAGCTGTGCCGCGACAGTGGCATCCTGGACGGCCGCCAGCTGACCGCCACCGCCGCCGACCTGGCCTTCATCGCCAAGGCCAAGCCGCTGGTGGGCAGGGCGAGGCGCCTGGCCTCTTGAGGGGGTGCGGTGGGGGGTTTGCTTGCCGTTGGGCCACGTTGCTTCACGACAACATCGCTTCATCACGATCCCAGCTGACTCGCTCGCAAGGCCGCCCACCCGAGGTTCCCCTGCCACCTGTTGCAGGGCGCGCGCAAGATTGGCTTCCGCCAGTTCTTGCAGGCGGTGGAGCAGATGGCGCACGAGAAGGGGGTGCCCAAGGGTGCGCCCCGCGCTGCGCTCCAGCCTGCTGCTTGAGCATCGCAGGGTATCTGCGGTACATGCATGTGCTGAGCCCTGGCGAACTCAGGGTGCTGATTGCCTTGTCACCAAACTCATCTCCTCATTTCCCTCTCCCATTTGTCTTGCAGAGGAGCTGTTCGCTCAGATTGCCAGCTGCGGAGGGCCCAGCCTGAACCGGCCGGGCTCTGCGCCGCCAGCGCAGCCGGCTGCCAGCGAGGCCCGTCCCTCGCTGCCAGCCGCCCCCACGGCTGAGATCTTCGAGGCAGCGGCACAGGAGCTTGGTGCCCAGGCTGATGGCAGCAGCGACGGTGTCGCAGTTGAGGACTCTGCGGCCACGAATGGCATCTCTGAGGCCGTTGGCAAGCTGTGAGTGCCTGCCGCCAGCTGCTGCCCACCACCACCAAAACTTGTTTGAACATGTTTGCAGGCAGCAGCTGCTGTGCATGTTGGCAATGTTTGGCTGCTGCGCCTCCCTTCCCACCCGCAGGTCGATTGGGGGCAAAGTCGTCAACATCACAGCGTTTTCCAGTTGAGCTGGCAGGAGAGGGCGCTGCGTGTCTGCCGCCATCATTGCTGCAGTATTTGTTTTCTTGCCTCTTTCTCACTCGGTTTTGCATCACACGTGTCGATTTGCCCCACCGCGGTACTTGGGCACTCGCCTTGCTTGGCGCCTGCTCTGCCTAAAGTTTTCCCCATTCATCACTGGATCCACTTCTGTGACAACAATGCAAGGCGCCAGATAAATTCAAATATACACCCACAGCTGTGGGTTGGCGGCAACAAACAGGCTGTCCCTGCCCGCCAGGCGCCGGCGCCCGGCAGTTTGCCGCCGCCGAAGAGGAGCAGTGCTGCCAGCTCTCGGCAGCCCCGCTGGGGGTTACGTCAGTCTCACGGATTCTCCGTCATAGAGAGTGCATTTTAAAGGCCAACTGCACGTGGGGCCGTGACGTGGAGCCCCCTTCTCAAAGAGAAACGCGGCGCCTTGATCTGATCTACGACCTCTGCAAGCTCCCACGTCTGCAAGCCGCTCCCTCCCCCACCGCCGTCACCAACACCCGAATTAGGGCAACTGTGCGCTGTTGAATCGCTCCCCTTTGCCCGCGATCTGGCGCACCTTCCGTTTAGACTCTTCAAGGGCAGGGTCTGACTGCGGGCCACGGCCGATACCAGCGACATGCAGGGATGACGCCGCCGCCTGCCGCCACCGCCGCGGGTCGGCCCACGCTGGGGCGCGGCCCGCTTGCAGCAGCGGCCACGCACCGCATGCATCCCACCCACCTACATAGCAGCCTTGGCCCAGCATTAGGCGGCCGGCAACATGGAGGAGCTGCGACGCTCCTGCAGCCCCGCCACGGGCAGCACGCCCTGTTGGCTGCCCGCCACGCCAGGCGGCAAGTGCGGCCGCTGGCCACGCGGCGGGCGTCGCGCCTGCAGGCCTCCGTGTTGGACGACAGCAAGCTGTGGAAGGCCAGCCAGAGGGGCGATGCCGGCGATGGCAGCAGCAAAGGGACTCTGAAGCAGCCGCCCGCCGGCTGGGTTGACCGCTTCAGCTTGCCCACAGTCATCCTGCCATGGGACAATCGGTCAGTGGAGCACAGGGGGCATAGGGGGCAGCCTTCCAGCCATTGTTTTCGGCGCACCTTTCTGGCGACCTGCCCCAGCTGGCGCAGCCGTGCGGGCCCGCCTGTGCTTTCAGGTCCACCAGCGGCTGCCGCCCGCCTCGGCATCCAGCCCTCCAACCGCCCCTGCTGCTGTCCCGCACTGTAGGTACCTGACTTGGAGCGGGCTGGCGACCTTTGCGGCTGCCCTCACCGGCTTCCTGATTCCGTGGGAGGTCGCCTTCCTTCCCACGCACGAGCTGTACAGCCTGAGCAGCCCCTGGGCCGTGCTCAACCTGCTGCTGGTCGGCATGTTTGGCCTGGACATACTGGTTTCCTTCCGGCTGGTGAGATCCTGCAGCAGGGCAAAGCGGGCAGTGCGGCGACGCGCGTTGCATGCAGCGCACAGGCCTGGCGTGTAGCGAGGCTGGGGCGGAGGCCCGGAAGGGTGCCCACGACTGGCCTTCTTCGTCCGCAGCTGCTACGGTGGCGGCACCAGCAGCTGCCGTGCCGGCGCCGCTGCTGCTCCTGCCAGCGAGCCAGCTGGGCGGTCGCTGGTGGTGGCTGGGCGCAGCACCGCCACCCAGATGCGCTCGCCTGCTTCGCCCGGCCTGCCTCCTGCTGCAGGCGTATTTCGAGGGGGAGGTGCTGGTGGACAGCCCCGCAGCCATGGCCCGGCAATACTTGAAAACCGACTTTGCGGCAGACCTGTTTGGCTTCATCCCAGCAGACTGGATGCTGCTGGCGGC